AAAGTAATATCTTATGGAATAAACTTAATTATATATTAAGATATATATATATATATATATATATATATATATATATATATATAATATGCATTTTGAACCTAACCTTATACTTACAAAGGTGAAATTACATACACACATCATAAATTAGTCGAGTATGAATTATAATATGGAATTACATATGCGTGTAGATATAATCCATTTCCTAACATAAACAAACATAGTTTTGTTTATGTTAGGAGATGATGCCAAGCAGATATGGATGTTTCGAGTATCGGCAGATAGTGGATGTTCAAAAGGCACTATTCTGGCTTTTTTTGACTATAAGTCCTACATGGCCAAGCAGTTAGGTACATCAGATCTATTGATGGTTCCCCATAGGTTCAAGTCCTGCTGGAAGATGCATATTTTTCTGACATGATTTCTTAAATATTCAGGCCAGTAGATGTAGTCAGATAATACTGTTTAATCAAAAACAGAGCTTCTAGTCAAATATGAGTATCCATCAAAAATAACATTTGCACACACACACACACATATATATATTTTAAAAATGTAGATTTGTATTTTATAATGTAGATTTGTTTTAGTATATATATATTTTATTCTTCTTATTTAAAAATATACATTTTTTTGTTGGAACAACTATAACCTTTTCCCTATATAAATATATATATATGTGTGTGTGTGTGTGTGTGTGTGTGTGTGTGTGTGTGTTTTCTTCTAGTTTTGTTCAAGTACTTTCAACCATCAAAGTCATTATCAAGAACTAGATGAGTCCAGATTTTGTTAGCTACACCCTCAGATTTTTTAAAATGTACATGTGTCACATAAGTGACATCATAAAAAAAGTATATAAAAAGAAAACTACCACACATATAAATTCAGTATTTAATCTCCTTCGAAGTAGTCTCCTTCTGAAGCCACACATTTTATCCTGCAACATTCCTGGAACTTCTTTTTTCAAACAACTAGCAGCTGCCTCTTCACATTCTCCTGGATTTGCTCAACATCTTCAAATCTTGTTCTTTTCAAGTGGGATTTGATATGTGAAAAGAAGAAAGTTGCAAAGGGTGAGATCTGGGGAATATGGTGATTGCCGGATTTGGAGAATGTTGTGTTTGGCCAAAAACTACTGCACTAGCCAGGGTCAGTGAACCTCTGTGATGTAGTGAGATGACCACATTCAACACACTTCCCTTACAAATACTGCTATAAACTGAAATGAGCAAGAACATTGTAATTTAGTGTACATACACAACAGAATCCAAGGTCAGACTGTGCCAAGAGGCTTCATTCACTATGTGTACTTTAGCCTTTTTACCACAGCAACAGTCCTGATACTTTTGGATCTGGACTTGTGTGTATATATATATATATATATATATATATATATGAAAAGTGTGTATATAAATATAAACATAAATAAATATATATATATATATATATATATATATATATATATATATATATATATATATATATATATTATTATATATATTATATATTAGTACTTATTAAAAGTGCTCAATATCAGAAATAGAATAACATATTCAGTTGGATTGATGTGAGTTTCACAAACTCACATTAATCCAACTAAATATATATGTATATATATATATATATATATATATATATATATATATATATATATATATATATATATACATATACATATATATATATATATATATATATATATATATATATATGTCAATAAAAAATGTTAAAAAATTAAAATATTAAAAAATTAAAATTTCATACACACTGGATTGTATATTAATACTTTTGTTTTATTATATAAATTAGGTTTCAGCCAGCATGGCCATCATTAGGAGAAAAATTCCTGCTTGTTAGTAGCAGTGAACTATAGGAGTGAATGACTGTCTCTGAAGAAAGTGAACTTTGCTTGTAGTTTTCATTTGTTTTTATCTTTAATTTTTGTCAGTCCCTGTATTGATCAAAAGGCTGATGTGGTGTCAGTCAGAGACTCTACCCTAAAGCTATCGGCATATGGCAGAGAAAGTGAATCTTTTAGTGTATTATATACGTGATGCATATAAATACCAAATCAGCAGCCAGAGTGCTCAATTCATAACTTAAGAGCAATGCATTATAAGCAGCAAGCAGTGTTTTAAAAATTCCCTTTCCTATAGTGCTCAATTGGTAAACAAGACCAAGTCATCCACATACATGCCTGTTTTGCTGTATCACAACTCATCAGTGTGGATAGTCATCTGATGGCTTCAAGCCAGTATCAAAACTCAACCAATTTGGCATCAGTCAGAGACTTTACCCCTAAGCTATATATATATATATCTGTGTGTATGTGTTTTTTTCTAGTTTTGTTCAAGTACCTTCAACCATCAAAGTCATTATCAAGAACTGGATGAGTTCAGATTTTGTTAGCTACATCCTTTAAGGAGAGGCTGAGAGATTTATGAGTCTCAGATTTACCTCCTTAGTCATTCTGACAGCTTTATTGGTTACTGAGAAGGGGATG